CTTGGATTTTTTTTTTTTTTTTTTTTTTTTTTTTTTAGGATTCTCTCACTTTTTCAGACATTGCTTCTTACTAGCCAGACTTGTAGTTTTGAAGTTTTCTTTTATCAATCCAGACTTTTTTTACTAATTAGTTTCTTTCTTTTGTAAGAATTTTTTTTTTTAATAGTCGTTCGCATTTATTGACCAAAAGTTCGAAGTAAAGTGCACACCTTCCTTTTTATTAGAAATTTGGTTCCCTTTGGATTTTTTCGAAGTCACGGTTGTTTCTAATTTAAATTTAAATTCAATCTAGAAAAATGTATTTAATAAATTTAGGAACATAAAACAGGGATATCGTTGATTCCCTAAATGAATTTCTTCCCGACAAATGGACCGTAAGTTATGGGTCAAATTGAATTAGAATAATTCTACAACTCAAATCGAGACGAAAGTCCAGAATAATAAAATTATGTTCGTCACAGTATTATTGTATAAACGATACAATGTCAAAGCTTTTTACTATTAATACGATTTATGCTTAATTTACAATTTTTAATTAATTACTGTTCTGTTGTATGTATTCTCTGAATTGAGTTATCATATAATCTACTAATTACAGCGTGTTCTGCACTTTTATTTCTTCGTTTTAATTGTTTACTGATTTAATTTATCCTCTATATCTCGTCGCAATACATAAATATATACACGTACGTATAGTAGAGTACGAAAGACGACCTGATATTGTATCAAAATGTAAAAAGAATCACAATAATAGTGTGTAGCGAATAGTGCTAGTCGAGCAGCATTTAGGTGCACAAGAATGTGATTGATTTTCGAATGCATTATTTTTCCAATGAAATCTCGTCATTCTCTATTGGAGTGATACACTCCTCCTCTGTAATACAGAAATAGATATTCTCTTTCGGAAAATAGCATTTCGTACACGTTTACACAGTAAAGTAATGAAATAAAATTGTCATTTTTTTTCCCTGACACAATTTTTTAAAATTCATCCAAATCCCGAAAGAGTTGATTTTACACATAACGTAAAATTACACGAAACAACATATTTATTCGCGATAGAAACGTTTAAATTCACGTCAATTGAAAGCCGCGTTAATTGCGAGCCTTCGCGAATCGAAGTCGACGATGATAATCGAGCTCAATTTACCACCATTCAGAGATGCTCGCCGGACCTGTGGAAAAATTAGCTTGACGAGAGGAACTTCATCGCGGAAGAGACACGGAAGATAAAGCTGCCATTATGTATGCTCGTTGGCGGTGTGGGAAGTGTTCACGGCAAAAGTGGTCATACCAATCACGCCACCTCGTGAAACGCGCTTTCTACCCCGTGAGCTGTTTGCGCGCACGCGCACGCGCTCAAATTGATTGCAATCTTCCCGCGCCGTCTAAATTGTACGACGAAATGATACGGTCGAACGGTGTAATTATGACGGCGCGGCCGGAATATCGCCGTGGTGTACTAATTGATCAACTCGTAACAATTTATCAGGCTTTTCGTATCTTGATCATCAATCAACGACGACATCGATCGATACGTTGGCGATTCCCGTTAATTGGATACAGGCATTACGCTTGGAAATAGTCGCAGCGTGTCTTCTTCGTTTCTTTTTTTTTCCTTTTGTTTTTTTATACTATTATATTGTACGTATATGTTCGTCTTTTTCTTTTCTTTCGTTTCGTTTTGTAAGAGAGATGACGAAACAAACTTTCTCTGTTCTAATAGTATTTTTTACGTTCGTTTCAAACAGAATATTCAACCTTAAGCCTTCAGTCTTAAGCTTGAATGTAAAACTAACTGTAAGAAAATGAGCGTACAGGATTTGTTAAAATTTATTTTTTTGGGGGGGGGGGGATACAAATATTATAAAAGTATAGAGTTCATATTATTAAAAATGACTAAAAACTCAATTTGTATTTTACTCTTCTGCGAGAGAAATTAGAGATGAAATGGAATTAAATTATTACATAATATTATATAATAATTAAATTTATGATATTAATGTTATAAATTCAAGTATTATAATATTATATAGTATAAAGATATAATATCATATAATTTAATCAATTAAATGTTTTCCCAATGCTCGATATCAATACTGTCGTATACAAAATATTAAATTCATTTTAAAGTAAGCAACAACAAATAATTATTATAATAATGTAATAACATTTTAGTTGTTAGAGTTAACATTATCTATGATGAAGAAGTAAAATTTGTATCAGAATATCTATATAAACGAGGACCATTTCGTTTGTGTATTTTTCGAAAAAGTTCCTTAAATCTCGTAGAATGCAAATTTGCATGAAAAATTACGAATCAGTCATTTTAATTATTTCAATCAGTATCAGTATTAACGACCATTTACGTATGTCACAAAATTACTTACTACTCGTGTCACCAAACAGTTATTAAATACATATAATCCCTCTCTCATCCACCATTACACACGAATTTCCAAACATCACCCTACCATCCTGACGCACCTAACCAACAACAAACTCACTTTCACTCGAGCACTCATTCACCTGAAAAAAGCCAAAGGAAAATTTCCACGCTCCGCTGCTCCGACAATCATTAATCCCCCTAATCCCCTCTAATCCCATTACTGACCATTCCAACCTTTCCGGCCGAACGCATCTGTCATCGAGAGCTCGCCGTTTCGAATCACCACTCCGGGTATCGATCCTCTTCGTCCGATGTTCCAGGTACATCCACAGCAAGGAGAAGCCGTTCAAATGCGCGGAGTGCGGCAAAGGATTCTGCCAGAGCAGGACCCTCGCGGTGCACAAGATCCTCCACATGGAGGAGTCGCCGCACAAGTGTCCCGTGTGCGCCAGGAGTTTCAACCAGAGGAGCAACCTGAAGACCCACCTTCTCACGCACACGGACATCAAGCCTTACCACTGTGCCTCCTGCGGCAAGGTGTTCCGCAGGAACTGCGACCTCAGGAGGCACTCGTTGACTCACAATTTGGGCGTATCGACGTCGCCGCCGCCGCCGCCGGGGTTACCTGTGCCCGGCACCGGGGCCGTCGTGCTACAGGAGACGTCCTAGTGATCCTGTCGACCGATCGCGGCGAGCCTTCTATCGCGCTAGGGAAATTTGTTCTCGCACGGGCCCGAGAGAGAGAGAGAGAGAGAGAGAGAGATTCTTCAGGTGGGTCCGTTTCGCTCTTTCGATCGATTTCAGAGTCTCGAGGCGTCCGCAGCCCCCCCCCCCTCGAGGATCAGGTTTTCTTTAAACTTCTTGTTTAACTCCTCCAATCCTTTTAGCGGAGTTTTGACATACTCTTTCGTTTTTCGAGCGTACGCGACGCTGTGGAGTCTTGCGTGCAAATATCATGTAAATTTAATTATTTAATTTTTTCCGTAGAATTCTCTGTCACGTTAAGAAAAGACGATTTCAAAATAGAACACTTATGCAAGTAAGGTGTCTTCGTTCAGCGTGACTTTCCAATAATAACGAATAAAGAATGTAATTGATTTTATTAGAGATACTAATTAAGTTATTCAAAACTTATAAAAAGAAAAACAAATGTACGAAAAACTCGTCTTTCCTTCCTTATTTTATTAGGAATTCTATCTACTATACATTTACAGACACAGTTAAAATTCGAAGATTGCCGGCAACTCCACAGTGTCGTTGTAGGATTAATAATTCTACAAAGAGTGTCGTGTCAAATTCATATAGTTTGGTAAAGTCTGAGAAAGAAAATGATAAAAATTTGGTTTTAAATAATATCTAGGAGCTCGAAAGAGAAAATTTTATATTTTTCGCAAATGTGAAAGTGATCAACGACGATATATCGTTATTGAGTATCGGAAAGATTAAATAAATTTTTGTCGTCTGTTCGATCCCTAAAACAGGCTTGGATATTATTCAAACAAAATATTTCAATGTGTGAGACGTTTTAATGATATTTTTCTAAGTTACTTCATTATCTGTATATCAAACGAAATATTCTTTTATTTTGTTTTCAATTCCTCATAATAAATTCTTATTCAAATAATTTCTCAAACATTTTTTAATTCTTCAACTGTATTAAGACACAAATTTTGAATGATGCTATGTCAGATAATTTTATTTGAGTACTAATAAAGTATTAGGTATATTACTCTTAATTATTATATGTTATTCTGTTCTGAATAAAATGTGTCCAAGCCTGCTTTTTGTTAGTATTCATTCATATGTGTGAGGAGATCCACGAGTCACAGATTAAGAAACACTGACTTAAGACCATTCGTAGCTTTCGGATCGAAACCGTGCTCCGAAGAAAATTCTTTTCAATGTCACGTGCACGTCTTACGTTTCTCATGAGGCTAGATGCATTGAAAGAATTTCCTCCTGGACATGGCTTCAATTTTCATGGCTTCAAATAGTCTAAGATTTCTAGACATTTCGAAGGATTTTTTAAGTCTGCAACAGAAGAGAAATATTGAGACGTTTTGCATGTACAGTGGAACTCTATTATTGGAACGAAATGTCTGATGAAATATTCTTTATTTGTCGATTGAATTATTTTTGGGTTGCAAGTTTTTATCATTTCACTGGAATTCAATAGAATTATACAAATTATCGGAAGAATTATATAGAAATTTTCATAATTCAAATAAATTGAATTATAATAAAATGTGTGCTACGACAGATTGCTTTCTGTTTCGTAACTGAGACATGAGAGATTTTTCCAAATATTATTATTAGATCACGAATTTTTATAAATTACTCAAAAGCGCATAGATGCAAGAATACACGAAATATTTAAAGTAGACTATTTATTACAATATTTCTACTCAGCTTCCCCATTCCTTTAGTTACGTTCGTAAAAGTATAAAAACCTGCAAAAATACGAACGAGAATCAGTGAACTCTTGTTTGATTAAGATCAAATGAAAAATTGAAATCCGGGGAGAAATAACGAAAAACAAAGTTTCTTCATCGAAACTATTCTACTAATCTTCTCCTTTTACAACTCGTTTCCACGAGTTAACTCAGAATCATGGAACTCTGAAAATTTTGCAATTTTTCAATTAAAATTTAATTCTCGATTAAAATCCTCAACTTCACGATTAAAAGTTTCGATCGTATGCTTGAACCAAATAAATAGAGTTCTTCCACTGTATCATGACCATCGTGTCATTCGTGATAGAATACGATTTGGGAGGTGGTTGTTATCAGAGACATTATAGAAATGAAATACGCGAGATTCGTACGAGCCTTAAACGGACCCTGCTGTCCTTGATTTTTTTAAACGTGTACTTAGCTGCGTATGTATTTCGTAGTTGTTAATACGTAGGGTATAATTATAACTGCATATCAGGATGTTATTCACGGATTCATGATCGTTAGATCTGTAATTATGTTACGCACGACGTATTATATGTATAGGTAGCTCGGAGTAGAACATACAAGAGGGTCGCCCTCGTATTTTTTTTCACACTGTGTACCTACGTGCCCATGTTGTGTTTCGTTTGTACGTGTAAAATAAACTTTTATTATATTATTTTTTAAACTGTCGTTGTCGTCGATACCTTTTGATCAGTCACTCTCCTTAAAAATGGAAAACGAAAATGAAACTTTATTTCCAGGATTTTTAAATGGCTTATCAATCAAGATGTTGAAATGAAGATCGATGAAAATGAAAATTTAATTTGAATTCGATTTGGTTAATGATACTAAATAATCGATACTGATGTCAGAGATATAAAATTTCAGTAATCTAACATTGATTATTATAAACGTTCGCACTATTTTGGAATTAATGGAATGTCACGTCTCTATCAAAGAGAATGTAATATTTAAAATTTAATTTTATTTTACTACAGACATCTATCTCAGAGAATGTAAAAGTAAATAACGAAAAATAGCAAAATTAAACTAAAATTAAATAGCTAATATGATGAAATTAAATTAAAATTAAACACCCAAGATTTTAGCAAATCAAACATAAATTAAGTCGCAGTTATCTATACTTAATCCAACTATTTGACGAATATTGCATTCATTGATAGAATATTGCATTTAATTTTAATTGCAATTAAATCTTTCAAGATTTGCAAACTCTTCGATATACAACTCTGAAATATCGAATTGTGCCGAAGCGAAATATTTTGGAGCACGTCACCAACCATGCTTATTTCTCAAGTAGATATATCACGATATTTAAAAGAAGAGATCTTGTGGACAATACGTCAACGCATATATTTCGAACGATTTCTATTAATTAAAGTGACATAAGATCCAGACTCGTTGAATTTCTGTCAATCTAACAATTAAGAGAAAGAGAGAGATTCATTACTAAACGCGAATTTTATATCAAAATCGTAGTAAAATCGTTAGAACGTCACATGACACGTTCGATCTTCAACTGATTCTCGATTACAAAGCGAATCAATTCGAGATTCTCTCAATACTCGATCGTTTCGAGCTTCAATGCTAGACGAACAGCTCCGAATGATTCGTGTTGAAGAATAAAGACACCGTTCGACGATACTGCTACAAAATAAAAGTTGAAGTAGACGTTGAAGAAGAAGAAGCAGCAGCGAAGAGAACGACGACGACGACGACGACGACGACAAAGAAGAAGAAGAAGAACAAGAAGAAGAAACGCATGTATCGTGTTACAAAGAACGAGGCCGCCAGGTGCGCGGGGACATGACACCGCGATACGTCTAGGGTTACGTTTCTTTTTCGAAGGTAGGTGCCGGAGAGGCACGAGGTGGGGCCCGAGTACGCTATTTTGGGGCCCGGGAACGGGCCCGAACGCGGGACAGCTCGCGTCGATAAGGAGAATCTCGTACGACCGGTCGGCTTCCACTTCTTCCAACAGGCTAGGAGTTCGTTCTCGAACCTGGAAACTCGAGGAATTCCGATCCGGATCAAAAATGAAGAAAAAGAAAAAGAAAGGAAAGAGGAGAGGGGGAGAAAAAGAAGGTAGGGAAAAGGGACGAGTGAAACCTCGTGTCTCAGCCTTGTAAAGCGAATTTACATAATTTCTTGACAGCTAGTGTGGCGAAATTAATTCGCCGGGATATAATCCAGGTACCATTCGATACTCACGATCCAGAAGATTTCGTTGTATCTTCGACGATCCAGATTCCGGGGGCTTGGTTCTTCTTTTTTTTTTTTTGGAAGCAAATCTAGTTTACGTGAACTTTGTTTGTATCAGCAAAATTCTGACTTGTCCCCGATTAGGTGCTCTTGTTGATTGGATTCATTTATTTGAACGTGAATTCTTATAATATGAATGAAAAATCATAAGTAGAAGTGGGTTGAAGCAGTAGATTTTTGTTAATACGAATTCCAATTTATAATAAATATTGAATATATATTCTACAGAGAGTGTTGCGTTTTAATCTTTCCGTGCAATTATTTCCAAAAATATTTGTTAAGAAATGTTCCACCAGATCTCAAGATCGTCTCTATTTTTTTTTTTTTTTTTTTTTATGGAATCATACAATCTAAGGTACTGACTTATGCATGTTGAAAAATTATTAGTTTAGGAGATATTTTAACTGTAATTTTGTAAAATCTACCGTATGAAAGATATTCTTGATACTGCCTTCCATGCAATAGGTTTTACAAAATTCAATTTTTATACATATAAATTATACATATAAGTTTACATTTTTCTAGAGAATAGCTGCATAGCATATCGATTAATGGATAAAATAGTATGTGATTCCATTTCCCAAAAAATGGAAGTGACTTTGAGAAACGCCACCATTTGACGCCACCCAGACGAATCATAAAATATCCCTGTCGAGACAGAACAAATTTTATTTCAAACATTTTTTCGAATAGTGAAGAGGTGCGAAGATAATTGCGTGGAAACATTAAAATGGGACATTCTGTATAGAACATCCATATGATATATGTTATAATATTATATACTACGTTTAACATTTTTCACATATTGTAATTAGGATACATATATATTATTGTATATTTTATGTCACACTACATTTTAAAATATAAATTCGTATAAACGAAGTGTTACTGTAGTTTTGTTCAAAAAATGCAGTTCATTGATTGAAAATATCTAAATGCTTTTAGTTGTAGTTATGTTTTTATAAATTAGTATTAGCTATTGCATCGTTAAAGTTCAATAAAAAAAGAAAGA